TCTCTCTCTCTCTCTCTCTCTCTCTCTCTCTCTCTCTCTCTCTCTCTCTCTGTCACCTTATGACGTGTTTAAAGTATTTCACAACTTGCCAGCGAACATCTTACTATACAAACATACACTTACGATCATACAGTAAGAGTCAGAGAACATCTTTCTTTTTATTCCAATACTCAAATCACTCTGTGTCTTTCTGTTTTTAATCAGGATACAGTGCAAGTACTGACAGGAGTATGTGTGGGATTTTTTTTCCAGCTGAATGAAAAGATGGGCTGCGGGAATCTCTTGGCTCAACGTCTATATGATATCACTAGCTGGGCCCCTTTTCGATGAAAGGAATGATCGATGCATTAACATCACCTGAAAGTCATTGGCCTACTATATTTACACTCTACCGCAATGGAGTAATAAATCTTGAGAGAAAAGTGACACTTGTGTTTCCAAGTTACCAAATAATAAAATATATAATAGAGGTATAGATTGATTCTCTCTCTATTCCGTTTTTTTTGGTCGTACACTCCATAATTTCAAAGGTGTGGAACAGTGAGCACGGCTAGTGAACGGAAACCTCACTTGTTTACAACGGCGTCTTAGAAGACGGGCTTTCCCAAGATTAGATCTAAACGAAAGTAATGAAAAACTGAAAATTAAACTACAATGACTTCAGGATCCTCAATGAAACTTTGCATCCGCTAAATGATTCTAAACCACCATGAATTTAGTCAAATTCGAAAGCTAAATGGTTGGGAAGTTTTAGGCGACGAAAGTGACGAACTTTCAAAAATATAATAAAATGTATAGATGACGGACTGGAGAACTTCAAAATGCAATTATTCATTTAACTGTCTAGAGTAGTAGGCTATTGTACGGGAGTGGGTGCCACAGAAATGATCTGCAGTATTAAAATCAGTATTATCGTCCAATTGTTTTATTGTTTGTTTTGTTTGGGTTGTGATTCATTGTTTATTTTTTATTTGGGTTTTATTTGTGGGTGGGGGGGGCGGGACGGAGGTGTTTGTTTGTCTGTTTATTTGTTTGTTTGTTGCTGGGTTTATTTTTGTTTTGTTCTTTTGTGTATGCACGCATTCATTCATTCATTTTTTCTAACTTGAATGTTCTGATTTATGTATGTGTGTGTGTTTGTGTGTGTACGTGCATGTATGTATGTGTGTGTGTGTGTGTGTGTGTGTGTGTGTGTGTGTGTGTGTGTGTGAGTGTATTATATAGAGTGCACATTCACTAATCATTTTCATCTTAAATAGATAATGAATACCAAATCATATCCAGCGGTATTTCATATCTAATGAACTGAGCAACAGAATATTAAGACATCATGGAGACTTGATTGAGAGGGATATTAGAGTGGGATAATAGAGGGGAATACTAGAGAGGGGTATTAGAGAGGGGTATTAGAGAGGGATAATAGAGGGGAATACTAGAGAGGGATAATAGAGAGGGATAATAGAGAGGGATAATAGAGAGGGATCTTAAAGAGGGATATTAGAAAGGATAATGGAGAGGGATATTAGAGAAGAATAATAGAGAAAGATATTAGAGAAGGATAATAGAGAGGGATATTAGAAAGGGATATTATAGAGGTATAATAAAGAGGGATATTACTGAGGGATAATAGAGAAGGATAGTGGTAAAAGATAACACCAATGTTTACCAGTTGTAACAAACAGAGGCAGGGCTATAAGTTTTTAACAAAAAGTGTAGTTTATACGAACATGTACCGAAGTTCATATCCTATCCGATGAGTAGGTCGATTTTCGAATATCAACTTTAAAACATACAAGAAGGAAAACTGGTTTAAAAAAAAAAAAAAAAAACATATTAAAAGAGGGAAATGCTAAATCAAACTGAAGCAAAACAAAAAAATGCATATTATCTCATGATTTCAAGATTGGCACATAGCGCAATATTCATTGCTTCCCGTTACATAAGTAATAATAGATTATGAAACGTTTTTTCGCTCTGGATCTGAATATAGTACAAATCATTGTTTTTCGTTACATAAGCAGTAATAGATTATGAAAATGTTATTCTCTTGGGATCTAAACATAGATTCTAGTACAAATCGTTGCGTTCCTTAACTTAAGTAATAATAGATTTGAAACGTTAATTCTCCCTGAGTCTGAACTTTGCAGAAATCATTGCATTCCGTAACTTAAGTAATAATAGACTATGAAACTTTAATTCTCTTGAGATCTAAATATAGTGCAAATCGTTGCGTTCAGTTACTTAAGTAATAATAGATTATGAAAATGTAATTCTGCTCTGAATCTGAACATTGTACAAATCATTTCTTTCCTTTACATAAGCAGTAATAGATTATGAAACGTTTTTCACCCGATACTGCGTCACGACTTGAGGACCAATGTAAACAATTCTTCGTGCCCCAAAATGTCTGACGAACGACCTCACTCAACAAACTGCGGTGTGATTTCCGTCGCCACGAGAGAGAGAGAGAGAGAGAGAGAGAGAGAGAGAGAGAGAGAGAGAGAGAG